ACCTGCTGAAAACTAAGGAATTAATAATCATCAAAAGTGTATGTTTGTCGAAAACATGCTTGACACGGTTTATTTGGCCGAGGCGGGCCATGCACGAGGAAGCGGTCTTAATTATGTGTTCATCGTAAGTTAAATTAGAATCCAAAATCACACCAAGGTCTTTGGCGGTGTCTCTGCGGGGGACGATGTCCTCACCCATAATGGAAAGGGAGCGAAATTGCAATTTTGCACGCATCTGCCTGCTGCCAAATATCATCAGCTTGGTTTTGCCAGGGTTAAGTAACAATTGGTTGTTGGAACACCATTCTCCTATTTTAAACAAGTTGTCTTCCAAATCAGCAATTGCATCCAGGTTGTCTTTAAGTTCGAAGGAAGTGATGAGTTTCGTATCATCTACATAACTCTGAGTGCTGCATTTCTGTGGGATCGATGGAAGATCGTTCGTATATATGCTAAATAGTGGTGGGCCTAAGATACTTCCTTGAGGGACGCCGTTGGTCACGGACAAAGGCTCAGATAGCGTTGAATGGTTCGTACTACTTGTGTCCTGTTGCTTAGGTAACTACGAAACCATTGGAGAGCGTCTCTGGAAATTCCGACATCTTGCAATTTTAAAATTAACGTGTCGTGATTGACGCTATCGAAAGCTTTGCTCATATCTAATAGAACAACTGCCGTTAACTTCTTTTTGTCAATCGCGTTAAGAATTGTGTCAGTTGTTTCAATCACAGACGTTTCACACGAATGCCATCTCTTGTTACCGCTTTGGCTCTTTGATAGGGTGTCATTCGATTGCAGATACGAGGTGAGCTGATTATGTACTACCCTTTCGCAAACCTTTGATAAGACTGGTGTAAGTGAGATGGGTCTATTATTGTTTGCCTGTTCCTGGTCGCCCTCTTTTTGGGATTGGTGTAACCACAGCTGTCTTCCATTTTGATGGAAAAACACAGTTTTGAAAGGATGCATTAACGATAGACGTTATTGGGTGAACAATTGGATTAAGACAATCCTTGATGACACGAATCGGGATTTTGTCTATCCCTGGGGCCTTGTTTGAAGGCATCGCTGCTATTATACGTTCTATTTGTTTATAATCAATGGTACTCAGTGTGAACTGGTCAGAGAGAGCGTATTGTCTCGGTACAAAATAATTCTGATTAAGTGTTAGGTTGCATTCATTAGCCAGGGACGTAATTTTGTCAACAGTGCTCTGACCAACAGATACGAAAAACTGATTAAATTCGTCTGCAACAGCTTTGTTGCTCTTACTGTATGTTCGCTGAGATGTAGATTTGCAGGGGATGCACTGGCGAATTGCTTTCCAGATATTATTGGTGTTATTTGGATTCCTCTGGATTTGTTGGGCCACAAATTCCTGTTCAGCAATTCTGATTTCCCTCTTTACTTCCTGTCTGAAATATCTGTAGGCAGTCCAAGATAGCGGATCATTTGTTTTCTTTGCTTTCTTACACCAATCATCCCTGGTCTTCATCAATCCCCGGATGTTGTCTGTTACGCATGGATTTGGTTTACAGCGTGCTTTGAAGGTTTTAATTGGAGCATGGCGGTCGAGTATCTCAGTAAATAGTGAATTGAGTGCATAAAGTTTGTCCTCGACATCGTCGAAAACATCAACTATGGACCACGGTGCCAGTGATATGTCGTTGCTAAAATCAACAGGACTGTAGTGTTTAAAACTTCTGGTTGTAATATAGACGGGTTTGGCGCGCGCTTTCTTCAATTTTAAGGTGACATAAACCAAGTCATGGTCGCTAATCGAGCTTTCCATAACCGTAGCCGTTTGAACTTGTCTTGTGTCCGATGCAAGGATAACATCTAGAACTGATTTCAAGTCTCTGTAACTCGTGTTGGCGTGTTGATCAGTATTGACAAGTTATAGGAACGGCAGAAATTAACAAGGACATTAGCTCCAGGATCGTTGCTATTCTCAAGTCTGCAGTTCAAATCTCCCAATAGATAAATTGGAACATTGAACGACGAGGCATAAATAAAGTTCTCTGTGAGATCTGAATCGAAACAAGATAACGATGCGTCCGGTGGTCTATAGGTTGTACAGACAATGAAAAACTTCATGTTCCTGACGTGGATTTTTAGCCACAGTTGGTGAAAGCCAGAGGCCGTGATAAGAGATATATCGCTCAAGTACTCCGTCCTGTAATTTCGTGAGACATAAGCACATACTCCACCGCCAATCTTCGCTTGTCGGTCGATACGGTAGATAACATAGCCAGGAATTTCTATTTCCAAATCCGTAACTGAACTGTTGAGCCATGTTTCGGATACGGTAAATATGTCAAACTTATTTTCCAGTACCGTTTCCTTTACAAGAACGAAATGCTCACGGCATTTAAGCAAGCGAACGTTAAGATGTGCAATCTTCACATTGCCATTTGACTTTTCAGACTTGTTTCTAATAGAGCTGTTTGCTGGTCCAGGGTTAAGTTCAACATCATGTAACAGTTGTATAACAGGTCTAAAGGTCGAGGTTGAATTGGCATAATAGGCTGTAGTAACGTTTGCTCGTTTCACTCTAATAGTGACATGCACGTGTGCCCGCCATTTTGTATTTTCTATTATGCAGAGTCTCCAATCCCAGTTTGCCACTTTAACCGACGTAGAGTGCGGGAAACGTAGACCAAAGTACTCATTTGTAAAAGAGTAGTCATGTTTACCTTTCCTCGAGGTATGAACAAGACACAAGAGGAGTACAAGTCCAATAACTCGGGAGCTCAGAATCACACATCCGCCCTCCTTCATGACGAATTTCAGATGTGATGTTCCTTATTATGGATAGTTGAATATCATGAGTGGAGTCAGCTCTAACAATTTTGTTGATCAAATTTGATACAAGATATTTCTCAGAGGTTTTAGCTTAATTAACTCAACGGAATCAAATACAACGAGAATAGAGATCTTATGAATTTCTTGATGCCTTATTTGTGCATTTTGATGCATTGTTTTTGCGAGAAATGTGATATTGCTATAGACTTTTTATAGTTGTGTCATGTTATTACGTAGCTTTTTGCATAAAGATGACAACATTTTTGGGTTTTATTTATGGTACACGAAAAGGCAGTATTTCTTCTTAAAATTTGTCATTTTGCTTACAGATTTATTGGAGATTTTCTTTCACACGTGTCTGATCTGTGTATCCAAAACACTTATAATAACCTGAGAGATTGGATACTCTCCAGTGGTTTACTCACCAATCCTTTGTAGCGGTGGAAGTTTAAAGTAATTGCATGTTCCAGTTGATTGTCACATACATCTTTCAGGGAGTCTCCTATGTGTAACAAAATGTGTGATAATGATTTTAAAACTAGCTTATGGTAAAATAGTCGGCTTACATTTGTCCAAGCATGTCCTTATTAACTTTGGCATTCATAAGACATAGACATAGAGCTTAAAAATCCCTCAAATTCAGTAAACTCGCTTCTCACGTTGTCCTTTGGCAAAACTGAAACCTGATAGTCAAGTGAAAGGTCTTGCATAATCGGGGTTAATATTTCAAATGTTTCTTGTCAATCGTCGAAACATTACTCAGTCACTGAACACTGGGGTCATTTGGTGTAGGAGTAAGGATCATTAACTGACTAACTTGAGCCTTTCTTCCATATGTGGTCTTCACTGCAAAAGGAAAATAGTCAAGTATTATAATAAATTTGAATGCTGTGTTTTGATTTGGAGAAGTTACCGAGCTGAAATCACAGTTTCCTCCAATGTTTCTTGAAATTAGCAATCTTCCACTGTAGCTCTCTCTCTCATGGTACAGCTTTCTAAACAGTCGGTCACTCCCAACAACAACAACTGCTACTACTACATAACTGAGTCCTTTTACACATTCACAAAGTGGTCTGGAACCTTCCAGAAGCTTTTAAAACAACTATTTTAGTAGTATTATGTAATAACTACGTGACTTGAAGAAATGTTTTAGGAAGTTCTATGGTATGCATGTCAGCATGACTATGCAGTTGGCCAGGTTGTTCAAAAGACTGGTTTAACTAACCTCGGGTTAGGGCTTACTAAAGGTTAAATTTCTTAACACAGATTTGTTAACACAGGGTTAAAATAGCATTTCTGAAAGGGTGGTTAAAGAGCTGGCTAGGTAACCTCAGGTTAGTGGCGGAATTATGGTCATCTCGCCCCATGGTGATTTTGCCCCCAGTCACTTTGCTCCAACCAAGTGCCAGTTTGCTTCATAATTGAAAGTCACCTCACTCTATACAAAGTTACTTTGCTTTATACAAAAGTCACTTCACTCCATGTAAGAAATTACTGAAATATTGTCTTGAACTTTTTGTTTGAGGCAAACTACTTTGAATGGTTAGAGTCATTGTGTGAGGTAGCTCATGTGAGATGGCTTTTAGAAAAGATAACGAGTTTCAATGAAGATAAACTTAAGTTTACATAAATTCTTCGGCTTTTTTTAGGATTTTATATTTTTATTTAAAGAATTGTCTCGTTTTGAATTTTTTTCTGTGTATTCCATGTATTAGCATGTATTACATCGTCGATCATTGCTTTTATTTTATTTGGTGGCTCCTAAAGGAGCCATTTGTTTTTTGTTTGTGATGGTTTTTCAGCTTAGTCCCTCGGTGCATTCAGGTAAGAGCAGGCTTTCAGCAACCGCTTGGCGGACTGTTCATTGGCCTCATATTTGTCCATATTGTTTGAACAGTTTGGTCTGCAGCTCACGGTACTTGCATCGCTGATTTCTCTTTAGTTTCCGTTTAGAAAGAGGGTGGATCTGCAGGACAGTAAGTTTGGCCTCTCTGTTTAGGAGCTGAATGAGGAGGTACAAGGGCAGCTGTCTGAAGGCTCGGTGGTTGAGGCCATGGTGCCACCCTTTCTGTGTTGTTATTTGTCCTCATGGCTTTTTTAAACACAGTCTAGTATGATGGGGTCCAGGTGGTGCCATTGATCCAGTTGCCGGACACGTACTCAGTGAAGGGCTGCAATGTGACAGGAGCCTGACACTAGAGGCAGTTAAACATTGGCCAGATTTCGTTCTCTGACAGGAAGGGCAGCGCTGGCATCTTTCTTATGAAGTGGAAGGTACCTTGATCATGGCTGTAGGCACTCTGTATACCCAATTCTTGTACCTTTGGAAAAAACAAAATGGATTGCAATTTAGCTATACCATTTATATTTTTAATATCCAATCTTCAGCATATGTGATTTCAATTAAAATTAGTAGTTTTTTTAAATAACCAAAGTTTTGAATTCTCTCAGTAGTTGTGATTTCAATTAATATTGGTAGTTTTTGCTTTTTTTAAAATTTATTACCTTGTAATGCTGGCCAAATTAAAATGATCGGATGTTATTGTCAATTTTAATGAAATGTTACCTCACTTTTCCTCATAGAGCCTGCGTCCAATGAAACATGCATCCCTGCAGTTTGGCCTGTGGCATCACTTTTTTCAGGGCTGCCCACACTGCTGTCTCGAAGTCTAAGGTGATCTGCTCTGTGGCTGGGGCTGATACCAGGATCTCCAGAAGCTGCTTGAAGATTTTGCAGTGGTTGTTCTTCTTCCTCCCTGACATAAGTATGAATAATAGCGGCACTTGTTTGGCAAGATCCTCGTGTTTTATGGACACGTTGATGATTGGGAGCTGGGTGAATGGTTGTCTGCACAGCTGGAAGGTGCCGTCAATGTACCAGCTCTTTGCTCAGGCCAGGAACTGGAGCTGCTGGTAACTGGTAACTGGCAGTATAAAATGGCGACGACCACGCACTTTATCGTCTGAGTGGAAGAAACCGTCAGGGATGTGCATTGCATAAAGTACTCTGTATAGGGACCCTTCCTTCAGGTGTATACAGTCAGTATATGCAATTGTATACGGTAAATATAAGGATGTGTAAGTTATAATGATCAGTGCACTTCAGGGTATGCTAAGAAAATACCAGGACTGTATACACATGTCGTATAATTTCTTATATCTCAGTATTCATGCCATTACACATCATGAATACTGTGTGTGACATGTGATTTACTGGTATGTATACTAGGCAGATATACAGGTTGTTATACTCCATGTGAAACTCCTTATAGCTAAGGGTACAAAGCAGTATTTGTACATATCGGACACTACATTAAGACGAATGTATTCTGGGAATATCTACAGAGTATGCGGACTGTTATATTTTTGTTTGGATTCATTGCATTCAGAGCAGGGCATTGATGTAATGATATTGAAACAGACTTAAAACCGGAAATATTCATTGAACTTTAATTTGGGACGAATAGAGGAGTATAGAGTGTTGAAATAAGAGCATTGTAAATGACAAAAGGAATATACTGATTAGACATTAAAAGACAAAATGACAAAAAGAAACAAGTTCTCAAGAGTAAAACTATTTTATTTGTATTCAACAGCACCATGCATGTGGTTCTCACGGGGAATTTTGGCAAAGAAACACACGAAAAACGGAAATCAAACCTCAATTAGAATTACAACATGTCGAATCAATATCATTCCTATACGCAACGATGCTTGATAATAGAAAAGTCTAGTCTTTACATTGTACCGAGCTTAATCTCCCAACTCTTTCAAATAATGATAAGTTTTACAAAAAAACAAAAGGAACAAAACTTGAACGCAATTCTCAAACGATTTGCTGCAAGCTACTCCAACTCTTCTCCTGAGCTGCTTTCCTCATGTCCGTTTTCTTGCGTGTCCCCTGAGTCTTCCTGTTCATCTTGTCCAGAATCGTTGTCTCTGTTGACGATACAGAAAACTGGTTAATTTGTTGAAACATTAACATTTTTTAACGTTTGATTAAATATACCGTTGAAGTACCCTTACCAATGGAAGGAAGAAAGGAGAACATTGTAAATTTGGTGACTTCCTAAATCACAGAAGGAGAACTCAAAGGAAAACCTGTGAGGCTTCTCTCTTTAAGACTGTGTGGTCAAAAAATGGGGGTCTTATCTTGAAAGAGAAGAGGGTGTTCTGCTATGTGAAGAAGACACTTCAAGAATTTTTGAAGTTACACAGCTTTGCAGAGAAGTGTGAAGAGTACAAGAAGTCACCTTGCAATACTGATCTCTTAGGGATATTTATGATGGATGAATCTGGAAAAACTTCGAGAATGCAGAGGGACACCCATTGTTCAATGTTCGTGATACTTTTGGATGTATGCTGAACCTTGACTGGTTTCAGCCATATAAAGATTCTGTTTACAGCTTAGGGGTTCTTTATCTCAGTTTTCTAAACTTGCCTCCTGATGAGAGCAACAAAGAAGAAAAGATAGCTGTTGGAGGTATCATTTCTGGCCCTCAGGAGCTTGTGCAAGATGTCAATTCCTCTTTGGGCCCTCTTATTGATGAATTATTAGACTTCAGGGATGGTATTTGGCTAGATTGTCCCAACACTAGACCAAGGTTTTGTCATCTTGCTGTACTTTGTGTGACTTGTGACATCCCAGCATCTCGCAAGCTATGTGGCTTTTTGAGTTTCAGTGCTACAATGGGTTGTAACAAGTGTAAAAAGAAATTCCCTAGGCCAGCATTTGGAGAAAAGCAAGACTCCCCTGGTTTTGATTGGAGCAGCTGAGTGTTACGCACTGACACTGAGCATAGGCAGCAAGCTTGGGTCATCAGGAACACTGCATCTGTCAAGAAAGACCGTGTCGAAAAAGGAAGCAAATGTGGAGTACGCTTTTCTTCCTTAATTTACCATCCTTGTTTTAATTTCATCTCATTTGCTGTCATTGACCTCATGCACAATTTGATGTTGGGGACTACTTAAAAAATGCTTAAATTTGTAAGGAAAAATACTTGCTTGGTGATAAGGAATTCAAGGATCTTCAGAAAAGGATAAACGAGTTGACGGCACCATCTGGTATTTGTCGAATTCCATCCAAAATAGCATCAAGCTTCAAAGGTTTTACTATTGACCAGTTCAAAAACTGGGCTCTGGTATGTTTGCTCTAAGAGACATCCTCCCAGACAGACGTTTGCAGTGTTGGAAGTTGTTTGTGAAAGCCTCCAGAATATTTTGTTCTACTATAATACCAATATCACAGGTCAAACTTGCTGATGAACTGTTTGTCAAGTGTTTTCAAGCTGTGGAGAATTTATATGTTTTATCAGGTATTCACCGAGTATGCATCTCCGTTGTCATTTATGTGAATGTGATCTTGATTTTGGCCGTGTGTATAGCTTCTGGTGCTTCTCGTTTAAGCATTACAATGGAATTCTAGGATCACTACGTGTAAACAATCATCAGATAGAGGTGCAATTAATGTGGAAATTTCTTGAACGGCATCAACTGGGTAGCATTTTCTGGCCAGGAGAATTCAATGGGTTTGGAGACATGCTACCAGCTACTTCCAAAGGATCTGTGGGGTTAGCCAAAGAGAAACGTGTGACTATAGAGAAAGCCTTATTTTTAAAGTTACACTGGACCTAATCTTTTTCACTTGTCATTTGTGGATAAACATTTCACTGAAGCTCTCCCTCCCTATAAGGATGTTTACATGGCTGATGATGAAGTTGATTTACTAACACAAATGTACAGTTTCCTGCATAAAGAAGACAGCATTGTTTATATTCCAAAATTTACTCGTCAATTTTCCCAGTTGCAATAATATAACAGAGATTGGACTCTTGATAATGTAGAGGTGAAATATAATATAATAATAAAAATAATAATGAAATATGATGCTCAAAGGCAAAAGATATTGAGAGGCTATTATTTCTGTGTTTAAGGTTTTCTTCCAAACAGAGCTCACTCACTGTTACCTACAACCTCTAACTATTTTCAAAAGTAACTTATTTGTGGTTACCTCGAACTCCATCTATTCTAACAATTTTTCCTTAAAGTGTTTAAGATATCAGGAGCCTTCAGAACATGGAAACAGGGACCACAGTTTTGCATTCTTTGCACATATTTAATACATTAGACGATAAAAAAAAATACTATAAGTACTCTCCACGTGAATTCTATATCCTGTCCTCAATGGATATTACACACTTAACCAACTATCAACAAAACTAGCAACTCTGAAGAAAAATGTTAGGGTTGTGTCTCTTATAAAACATCGAAGAATTGTAAAATATATATAATAGTTATAATAATTAAATACAAGCCTAAAATGTCATAAAATTCTATCTCATAATCTTAAAGGGTGATGCATCTTACAGTGGCCACCTAACAAACTTGCTTTAAGTTAATCAATCAGGGAGCACAAATTTGTTTCATGGTACACTTCCAAATACAATGGTTCTCATGTTTGAATCCAATTAGAGGATCGCTGACCATCAAGCAAAATTTGATGTGCTTTAAAAAAGGTTTGTTGGTTGGCAACGTAAGGCATGTCACTCTGTAACAGTAGTTATTACTGCAGGAAACTTGAATTGTCCTGAACTGAAAATCACTTCAACAACTACATGGTCTAATTGTGTGGGAACCTAAATATAGCAAGTCAATGAAATCATATCAACTGTGTCCTTTTACTCAAATCACAGCTGTTATTCTTGTCTGGTTCTCGGTGGCCGCCTTGCCTCAACACATTTCATATTGATTTTGTGGACAATCTGGCCTGGTGTGGGGACATCTTTATTGAACTTGGAGCAAACCTTGCCTAAAAGAAGATTAAAAAAATTACATCTGTTTAAGTTTGTTTTGAATTAGGAATTGGCAGAGTTAAGCATGTTCTCAAACCTGTAACTTACTCTTACATTATCAGTAAATTATAAGATGCCTGGGTCCACATTAATGTATTTTCATATAAAAAAACTTAGATTTTTGATGCATTAAGAAAAGTATGAAAGAGCCTATAAAGCCACCTATCGAAACAAATAATAAGAGATCTATACTTTTATCAAAAGTTTTCAAAAGTGAAGTTTTATTGCGGATTTGTGAGGATAGCAGCTTTTGAAAAAACATTAACTTGTGCGGATTGATCAAAATGTAATAAGTTGCCGTTATCCTAAAGTTTCTCAAACTCTGGCAGACGTAAATGATACTTCTGCTTAAGAGATAAACTGGAAAGAATGACCAAACCAACATAAAGGAGCCATCTGGCACAAATGATCAAGCAGGCACAAAGGAATCAAGTAATGCAAATGAGTGTCTAGTAATCCAAAGGTAACAAATGACTTATTTGGCTCAAATAATCCAACCAGCATGAATAGCACAAATAACCCAACCAATACAAAGTACCTGAATGGTCTAAATAAATCAATGACCCCATCAATAAAGGCACCAACTAAGACAACCCAAATGGCTGAAGTAAATGAAGTGTTCAGACTGAGCCAAGTGACCAAACAGTTATAATTTGCATAAGATGTTCTCTTTCATTTTGTACTGGAACGTGTAACCAACACATATACAGAAGAAAAAAACGAACAATGGCGGAGATTATGACCATTTTGCAACATATACAGCCCAAAGTAATATCTATGGGTTTTAAGATCCTATATTATACCAAATATATCCTGTGAAGAGCTTCTTTCTAAATTCGTGAACTTACTTGCACAAGAAACCTTACACGTTGTGTACTGTTAAGGATAACATTCATTACACACAAGGATAAGGACAAGTATGTCAAGTATATCCATAACCATATAAACCATTAAATCAGTATATCGTTCCGTATACTTAGTGTATACTGCCTCAATGTACCACCTCATACTTGACATTTCATACAATGCAATTTGCCAAATATATTGTCCTAAGTAACTTTTGTGGGCTAGAAGATATTGTATCATACCAAATATGTCCAGTTAAGAGCTCCTTTCAAAGTATGTTAAATTACTTGTATAATTAATCATACACTTTGTGTAAGGAAAATATAATTTTCAGTACACACATGAATTAGGAAGAGAAGTATACTGAACCGTATGCAATCGTTGTTGTACAACAAAATCATTATACAACAGTATATCGTTCTGTATGCACAATGTATAATGCTTCATTACACCTCCTCATATTCAACATTTCACGCAGTGGTAGCTTTCCTCCAGCTCGAAGTAGAGGTTCAGCGGGTCTTTCGGTCATAGCTGTTGGCGCTTTCTGTTGGCAGCACGGGCAATATACTCTGGTCTGGGTAGACTTGAGCAGGGTCCATCGGTCATTTGGTCCAGCAGTCATTTGGTCCAGCAGAACTTCCTCGATGATGGTCTTAACGGTTGCTGTTATGGCGGCACATACTGCTGCTCCAGGGTCTGCTGGGGGGTTGTGGGTGTTAACTGATAACTGAAAACTACCGTAGCTGCGTTCTATCACTGCTGCTCTGCATGGGTTGACCTTTCAAAAGGGAATTATTAAATTAGTAAAGTAAATAATTAGGAACAGTTATGATAAATAAGCACCCACAATCATGCAAACTGGCGCCATTTTAATTTCTGCATGCAACGCATGAAGTCGCCTTTTCCATCGGCCGAACGTTTGCTCGATCACCACTCACATTTTTGTGTGTGCACTATCATAGGCTTCTTAGGATGGAGTTGTTGTTGTTGCGAAAGGTGTCATTAGGAATGGACTGCAAGTGTACCCACTGTCACCGAGAAGAGCGCCATCATCGAGGGAGCGATGGTTGTTTTGCAAATAGGTGCAAATGTTACTAGTCCTGAATATGTGGCTCTCATGACTTCTTCCTGGCCAGCGGGTAACAACATTGGTAAACATGCCTTCAAATCAAACAATATTTTTGTTGAGGTTAGAGCTCGGTTCTCTTTAAATGTTTTGGTTCGTGTATGAATTTTGTCTTATAGGTTTACATTTTTATTTTCTTCAGGAAGTTTTACAATAGGAAAAAGGTTACTTACCTTCATGGTTGCAAACATCTTGTACATTGATGAAATGAGAACCTTTTCTGTTGACATAGTTGCTTTCATCCTGTGTGGGTGCTTATAATCTCATGTGAGTTCCGTCCACACATCCAACAACGCCAGGAAATCCTCCGCGAATGTAAAATTCGTTTTTAATTTTTTCACATTCGTCATGTGTCAAAGGCCACTTGATAAAGCAAGGTTGTTTTGCCGTAAGAGTTCGAGACACATCGGTAATGGTACGGGAAACGGTGGTGTCGCCTATAACGTGAAGGAAACCTTCACTTGAACAAAACCAAAGGGCAATTAAAACTTGGTGGAGTGGCAACAAGGCGTGATTTCATTGATTGTTGCGATTTATATCACCGGCAACAAGATTTGCAATAAATAAAATGGATGCTCTTCTAAAGCGATAACGAGCACGCAGTTCTTTGTCTGTGAAATCGTTGATTTCGAACTGAGTGTCGGTTCTGAATTTCCTTTCTCTTCACCGCCGCAAATTTCCCTTTCGCAAAGGGTCGTTGCCATTTGAAACGGTCGATGCCATTTCTCAGAACGGTCGTTGCCATTTGAAGCAGTCAATACCATTTCTCGGAACGGTCGTTGCCATTGAAAACGGTTCATGCCATTTCTCGTGACGGTCGATGCCATCGTAAAGGTCGATGCCAAGAAGGAACCGATATTTCCGACTCTCTCAGACGACATGCGTGACAATCAGAGCAATGCGTGACTAGCTTTCCCACAAACCATCGCGATTTTTATCAAATCAAAATGGCGGACAAACCCGGCAATTTTCTCAAAGATCTAATATTTTCAGCTATAAAAGAAGTCGAATCGAAAAGAAAATCTTTTGAATCGACCCAAATTACAAAGGAGAGTTTTCTGGCTTCGCTTCCAGATGATTCATTTCACTACCTGAAGGCAATTTCAGGAAATGGAGAAAAGTTCAAAGTGCACTTTTTGACCGAAGATATAACGAAAGAAAACCTGGAGCAATGGATATCCGAATATGAAGTGATAAACAGCATCTCAGTGAAGTTACCCTTTTCCTCCCATGGGTATGGTAATTAATTTTCGCAAAAAAGGCAACACCGTAAATAAATGGTTGTAAGTTGAGCTACATTTAGTCAATTTTCATATATCATAGCTCATTTTGAAGTTTAGAGAATTTTCTACACAGTGAACCATCAAAGTATGCCTGTCCCTTGTTATGTAAGTTTCTCACTTTATCCTCAAAGTTGACATATGACAGTAAAAATTCACTAAAAAAATCCTTCGTTCACAAGAATTCAGCTCTGAAACCAAAAAAAACTGTCAAATAATAATAATAGTCATTTTTGTTAAGCTAAAGAAATGACCTTTAAGATAAATCACAAATATTTGTTATATTGATCTAAAGAAAGCTTCTTACGGCCCTCAAACAGTAAGGCAATTTTCATCGTAAATTTTAATTCTATAAATCATTTCAAAAATTAATCAACTGAGGATTTAACAGCAACTTAAATCTCATAAGGTATTATTTTTTACCAGACTGATCCAAACAACCTTTCTGAGCATAACTGCCTTCCGCAAGTTTTTCAAATATCTGCAGGTTAATGATTAACCAATCAAAAGAAACAGTCATGTCCATAATCCCATGAATTATGGGTACATACATTTGTAGAATAAACAATCAGAAAACATAATTTTTTGAACAAGGAAACACCAAATAATATCTCTTATAAGCATGGAGTTGGACATACCAGTGCTACAATGTCAGTATGCTGTTGGCAATGGTGTGTCACAACAACAGCAATAAGTGAACAGTTTTTGACAACCAACGGTCAATGTTCCGCTACTTATAGGAGAGTTCACTGCCTCATCTGCCTAGGTCTTCCTCTTGCAAAAGGCCTGCCAGGATTCTGAGGTTTCAGACGTGGGGTTGCTGCTCCATATTCAGGGTCATCATACAAATAGTCTTGGAGGGTGTGGTACTTCTCAAAACAAGGGCTGGGGCACATGTGGACTCCACACAGTCCACACTTGTATGAAGTCAACACTCGCTGCAGGTGAACTTTACAAGCACACCGTTTGTCACCTTTGACTGGGAAGTGTCCCAAAGACAGATTCAATCTTGATATTTGAGGTGCAGCAGCTGTGGGGGTAATCTTGTAGCTCCTTCCACCATGTAAACCTCTGATTACCAGAATCCGGAAATCCATCATGCTCAGATCTGGTTGATCATCATCTTTTCCCTTGCAGTAAACAAGATATGCATTCAAAACTGACACCTCCAAGAAATGATAGAAGAGTTTTAGATACCATGTCCAGCCTTTCATGAGCCTTGCATAGGCAGTTGTCCTCTGGTCTGCAACATCAACACCACCCATGTGTAAATTGTATTGTTGCACTGGTATGGGACAGGCAAAGTCTCTCCTATGCCAGACGTTTGCTTCTCGCACTGACCTTTCAGCAACTCCCATTTCTTCATTAGCTGGTAAAGTTGTCAGAATAGTCACAGGTTTTCTGTCTTTCCATGTCACACAAGTGAGGTGATGTTTTTGCCGAAAAATTGCTTCACCACGTTTCATCCTCTTTACAGTAGCAGAGGTCGATGTTATCACATCTCGAGGAAGACCGATCCGATCCCCCCGACATGTTCCACAGGCTTGAAGACCCTGATCATAAAGCTTCTCAAAAAGTTGAACTGAGGTGTAGTAATTATCCATAAATATATTGTATCCTAGTCCATAAAATGGTTCCACAAGTTTCAAAACAACTCTTTGAGCTAAACCTTTAGACTCTTGTCCACATTCCTTGCCTGTATAAACATTAATGTCTAACACATAGCCATTTTCAGAGTCAGCCAAAGTAAATTCCTTGAGGCCAAATCTTGCTGGTTTGTCCCTCATATACTGCCTCCATGAAAGGCGTCCTTTAAACTTCACAAGGGTTTCACCCACTGACAGGTTCCTGCTTGGGGCATAAACTCTTTGGAACCGGTTTTTAATTAGTTCTAAGAAGGGCCTAATTTTCCCCAGTTTGTCATATCCATCTTGACCTCTAGGAATTAATTGTGTATTGTTCACAAAATGTATATACCTCAAAATTTGTGTAAACCGATTCCTTGACATGCAATTTGTGAAGAATGGTGTTTGAATTATCTCATCAGTGGACCAGTAACTATGTATGGTAGGTTTGTTTACCAGCCCCATTGCTAAAATCAAGGCAATAAATGTTCTTATTTCATCTTTGTCCACTGCGTGCCAAGGTATACGGTGTTTATCCGGGGTTTTGGCTCTCTCTTGGGCAGCATACAAATTTGTTTGTGTCACAACTAGATCAAGCAAGGCATCAGTAAAAAACAGACAAAAATAACTCACTGGGTCTTCTTGATCCGCTCCCATTCGAACTTTAGGCCCCGTGGGTTGGGTGAAAGGCAGGTCTGAATGCGTCCTGATGTCTTCTACCCAAACAGGATCGCCCACAACATCGTTTTCGCCCTGTGCTGTACGTCTCCACTTCCTGGGAGGACCTGCTTGTTGTAATTCTTCATTTTCGTCACTTTCTTCAGCCTCAGAGTCAGTCTGATAAAAGTCTGAGTCAATTTCCTCGTCAGACTCTCGCTCTAAATATGCCGTGCCTATAGCTACAGAAGTCAATGGCATTTCATCTTCGTCTACGAACACTAAATCCACGTTTTGAGAAGTCTCTGCAGCCGAATTTACTACAAATTCACTTCCAGAAGTTGAAGCCATTACTGATCAGCTGTTCCTGAACTTCGCGCGAGAACTCGAACAGAAAAGAATCGCAATTTTTTCGGTCAAAAGCAGGCAAATTCACATGAAAAACACCGAAGAAACCGACAAAAATCGCCAGGCGTCAAATGAGCCAGAGGGGGGCTATTGCAATCAAGTATTTCACCCCTAGCGGGCTCAGCATCGGTCAGCCGCATTTATCGTCACACATATGTGACGTTGGGAGGAAAAGGGTTAAAGACAAAGAAGGCACCAACAAGCGGCTATGTGTTGCGAAACTACTATAAGGGACCTTAAGCAGCTTCGTCGAGGACGAAAACGAGAACGAAATTATGACGTGGCATGCTCTAGGACACTGGGACGAGAACATCGTTTTCGGCGCGAAAATTGAAAGTTAAGCACCCGCGTCTTGTACAAAGACGAAGACGTCAACAAGTGGTGGTTTTAGTTATGTCGTCGTTTAAAGACATCAGGGATTTTGTTTTTGTTGAAAATGCCCACGACATGTTTGATGACGAAGAATTCTGCCTTCTCTATGACTTTTATCAGTCGAAGAATCCGGATTTTCCTTACAACTCGTACGCGTCGTTCGATTTGGGGGAAATGGATCCTGCTGAGTGTAATACCGAGTTTCGAGTCGAGAAATGGCACATTCCCTTGCTGGCAGACAGGCTACAGATTTCCCCAACATTCCAGTGCCCACAGCGTTCCGTTTGCGATGGCATAGAAGGGCTATGTATGCTACTGAAGCGACTGGCTTACCCCTGTCGATACAGTGATATGGTGCACAGATTTGCAAGGCTAGTTCCGGTCTTAAGCATGATAACAAACACTGTTCTCGATTATGTCTATGACAGGCATGGCCACAGACTAACTCAGTGGAACAATCAAGTTATGGACCCCAACCATTTGCAGCAATATGCAGACGTAATTTCAGCTAAAGGCTCTCCCTTGGACAACTGTTTTGGTTTTGTCGATGGCACGGTTCGACCAATAAGTCGCCCAGGACAGCACCAGAGGGCTGTATACAATGGACACAAGAGAGTCCATGCATTAAAATTTCAATCTGTTGCTCTACCGAATGGGTTAATAGGAAACCTATATGGCCCAATAGGTAATAATAATTATAATAATGTATGGAATTATTTATGCATGGTAGTCACTTCAGTTTAAAATTGTTCATTAAAAATAACCCTGAAAAATAAATAGAAAGATGAAGAAAATAAAAAAACTTAAGATGGCAAAAAATTCAAAAGCCGGTTCCTGAAAGGTGGAACAACACCATCCAGGGATAAAACTGTCTTATTCCAGTCATAACTTTGTCCTGGGATAAAGTTATGACTGGAATAAGGCAGACTTATCCCTGGAATAGAGTTATTCCACCTTTCAGGAACCTACCCCTGAAAAAAAGGTCAAAAAGGGTAAAAATCAGGAATCAAGTACTGAAAAAGCCCCATCAAGTGGAGGTGATTGATCTCTTCAGAGATATAATTTTGCAGATTAGAATATTGAATGAATTCTTTTGCAAAGAACTTAAATTTCCATCAGGTTCTCTACTGAGTATGCACCACAAGGTCACAACCATTGTCCACGCATCTAATTGTTTTCTAAACCTTTCATTTTCAGAAGGTAGAAGACATGATGCAGCTATGTTAGCTGAATCAGGCTTGCTGCAAGATCTCCAGCACCATGCAGTTTCCCCCCATGGCCACCTAATGTGCTTATATGGTGATCCAGCTTACCCGCACAGAGTGCAACTCCAACAACCATTATTTCTAGATCAGAAGTACTTCCTGGAAATAGTTCACTAACAAAACAGACAACTCCACTTGGTGTGATTCCTAATAAAGCTTTCATTGTGTTAGTGCTCTTATAGGATGAATAGCAGGCAGATTGGGCATCGAGTGACGATGGCTTTTCCATCTGGAACTCAGTGCAGTCTACAATGACAACAGTGTCAGGACAGATTTCTTTGAAGACTTTCGGCATATGAAAGTTCAAAACATCATCAGGTGGTATCTGTATAAGCGGCTCGAACTCTGACCTCAAAAATCTCAGCCATGAGTTAGTTATCCTTGAAACAGACATGTGAGAAACATTAAACCTATGGCCCAAGTCTCTCTCAAACAATCCCAGTCGTATTCGCACCAAAGTCATTATGAATTCCTGGAATGTTGATAGTGCTCTAGGTCTGCCAGGCTGTTTTGTACTTTCTAAGTCACAGTATTCTTTCATAATTGTAGCTTATATTCTTAGCTGAGTCTTTCACTAGGTTGTAACACATCATTTCTTTGGCACAAAGTCATGCTTAAAGATTTCTCTCCTTGATTTTCTCTCTTTTGTCCATGGAAATATTGTTGGCAGATGATTTCTGCTGAGTTTTTGGCCACCTTCGAAGTGTTCAGAACAGATTCTCGTTTGGGAAGAATCCAGCTCTAGCGATTCGTTTCTAAGCGATACTTTGTAGTATTTCCGAGCCTTTTCGCACTTGGGAATCCTGTAATATTCCAGATTTGGTTTGTTTCTAAAGTTGTTGGTACACTGGGGCACACAACAGTTAAAATGATGTGGCATTTTCCTTCAAAACATGGAATAGTATTTCTGGTACTAAAATCCACAACAATTTCCACTGCGGGACGCAGTGGAAATTGTTTTCTAACAACTTGTGCTGTTCTGTTTCTACCTACCGCAAACTGTGTAGTCACAGGGTTTACTGGGGTCCATGTGTGTTCAATTCCTTGTACATACAAATGTCCTTTTTCATTCCTTGTTTTCTGACCGACATCTGAGTGGTCAAATTGTACCCATACAATACCAGATGGTTTGGTTTGTTGATGTAACTGAACTAGTTTAACAACATTTCCAGCACCATTTGTCATGCCATCTTTGGTTCGTACATTCATGACAAGGTGTGTTCTTTCACCCTCGGCAAGACAAAGGGTTGAGGCTAACTGTTTTGTTTTTCTTGGATCATTGGGTATTTGTCTTAGTATTTTGTTTCTTAGCTCTGGAGAGATAGCTCCAATAACACTATCTAGAGCATTTATTGTGGATTTGTTTCCTGTGGCTGCATTATGGGCCCTTTGATTAAATTCATCTACTTTAGCATTCTGTATAAAAAAGTGAGGTGCATCTATTGGGTTGTTGATGTCTTCTTGTATAGCTCTCTTTAAGTTTTGCAATGTCAGCTACTGTGTTTACCTTTACGCAACCTATTAAGTAATTCCACAAACAATTTGCTGTCTCTTTGACCCATGATTTCATTAAGTTCAAACATTTTAAAGTGTTTATGCCATAAACTGGGAGAAAGAACAGCATAAATCTACATTTTTGAGGTCTTTGAAAATATAAGCATCCATAACAGATTCTAATTGGAATAAGTCACCAATAGCAATTATACTCACACCTCCAAAATCCTATCTACAGCCTTTTATATCTTTAAGCCTATTGTTTAGCTGCATTGCAAATTACCATTACCATTTCCTACCATTGAGATTTCATCAACAAAAATCAATTGACTTCTCAAAGTGTTTAGTCTACTTGAATCAAGCTGTTTGTAATGTCTCAGTGATTGATTGGCAGGAATGGCCAGAGTGCTATGAAGAGTGTTACCCTTAAGCTTTACCAGTTGGAGCTAATAGTATAACTTTGATCTGATGAAAATCATCACCAGCTCCAGTGTTATAATACTTAAGCACTGCCTGATACAAATCTTTTGTTAAATGCGATTTGCCAACACCAGCCCCTCCACTGAGGAAGCAGTAGAAAGGGGTTTCTGAGGTTTTAATCTGATGTAAAATGTGATAAAAAATTCTTTTTGCTCTTTATCGGGTGTCTGGACCATTTGACAAAAATCGAAATCAGGTAATTCATTCAATATCAGTGGTTCATTATTCAGCGATGTTGATGGAATGTTGAGATCATCAGAGAGGTCATAGTTTTCACTTAAATCAGGATGTAAATCTTCATGAGATCCAATCCTTGAACGGAATTGGTCAATGGAGATCCCCATATTTACTTGTGTGCTTGAGCGAGCAACAACAACAATCCAACTAACTAGAAACTCAGTTTATTAAAATAGATAACACTCTTGACAGTTAGGGGCAAACAATAGTTTCTTTCAGTTTGTGACACTTTGAGACACTCGTGAGACATTTTGAGACACTCGTGAGACACTTTGAGACACCCTGAGACTCTTTGAAGCGCAACCCGCACAAATACATTCAAGCCGACAAATGTTGGCTTGCGAGAGTACAATGACTCCTTTCAATCTGGCACAACCCGCACCGAAGGTCCAAGCCGATAAATGTTGGCTTGTGAAAACGTAAAAGCTCCTGTGCAACCTGCACTGAACACAAGCCGCGTTTTAGCGTGTTGACTTACGTGAAAAAATCTTCTGTTATAGACACCTGAAGAAACAACGAAACAAACGCCTCAGATTATGAAAGAAAGAACACAAACCAGGTGTAGAAACGTAATCGCCTTTCGTGAGAGCTTAATCGTGAAGCTCCCACAACAAAATTGAAAAGTTAAAGCACGCAAAGAACCGGTGAAAATATGAAATGACTTATCCTTACCTTGGAAACGAAAATCCCCAAGAAACAAATATGAAATTCCGAATAAGTTCTCCAAAACCCAACGACTGAGAAGAGAAATGGCCGTCGTACAATACACTATGAAAAAACGCTGACTGGAATCCAGTCTTCACGGCTCACTGAACGCAAATAGAAACCACGTGACAAGCACTTATCTCTCGTGGACAAATAAATAAAGAAATAAAGAAATAAATTTCGCGGGCCTTGACTAAGTGTGGGAAATCCCACACAAAAACCTCAGGTCCAGAGGTGGTGTAGTGAACGGCAGCGTCGTTTCAGCTGCTGCGAAAGCACTGATTAGCAGCAATCCGTCAATGCGTGACAAGTACCTCTCATTTACACCCACACGAGGATGGACTCAATCTATTTACAAGCGTTGCAACTTTTCCCGGCGTGCAGGCACAACAACCAAGCCACCAGTTCCAAGAGGAGTTTACGACGAATGCAAGCTCACTTACCTGTCGGACATTGACAATTGCATCAAGCAACACAATATTCCACCAGAACTTATTCTTAATGCTGATCAAACACCGAGTTCTTACGTATCAGTGGGTCGAATGACCATGGCAGCAACAAACTCTCAGTCTGTACCAATCAAGGGTTTGACAGATAAGCGTAACATCACTCTAACATTTGTGATTTCTTTGTCTGGCGAATTTCTCCCGTTGCAAATTATATACCAGGGTAAAACTAAGGCTAGCCTTCCTCGGAACTTTAGTTTTCCCAAGAGCTTTTGTGTCAGCCAAAACCCAAAGCACTATTCAAACGAGGCAGAAACAATAGGCCTTATTGATTCTGTAATCAATCCCTACGTGCGAAAGAAACGCAAGGAACTTGGCCTTTCACGATCTCAAAAAGCGCTTCTTATCTGGGATGTCTTCAGAGGTCAGAAAACGCAGAAGGTTTGCTCGAAGCTCTCCTCGCTGAATATAGAAGTCATTTCTGTCCCAACTAACATGACACATTTTTTTCAACCCTTGGATCTAACGGTCAATGGACAGGCCAAGAAGTTTTGCAAGAACAAGTTCGCGACGTGGTATTCCGCAGAAGTCCAGAAACAAGTGGATAGTGGAATCAATTTTGAAGATGTCGATGTTGATCTCAAACTATCAGTCCTTAAACCAATCCATGCCACTTGGTTGGTAGAGTTGTATAACTTTTTCACCAGCACTGAAGGAAACGATTATGTTTTGAAAGGATGGGAAAAATGTACCTGCACGGTTGGTAAAGACGGGAGCCCATGCAAACACGAGTATGTCCTGTGGGTGGCAAATCTAGCAGACTGCATAAACTTCATTCCAGTCAGTAATCCACATGAGAGGCAGAAATTGGCCTGGCTAGCAATAGGAAAGACACTTCCTGTTGCTTGTTATAAGCCATTACGCTCTAGTGATGCTGGACAAACATCACGAACTGATGGTTCTAATGGTTTTGTAACAGAGGCATCCACTAGTATGGAAACAGCACAACAAGGGCCAAACTGCTCAACTACTGAACCAATACAGAACAATGATGATGATG